ACTGGCGTGCTGCAACTGTAAGGACCCCACTTCGTGAAATGTATGCACAGAGGGCTATTGTTGATTTGCTGGCCCGCCTTCACTTAGGGCGGGCACGAGGCTTGCTGGGGCCTTAGCCCAGAACATGTACATCATGGCAAGGCCCCATCTTGAGGGCTCATTCCTCACAGGTGGGTGGAACCACCAGATATTTGAAGTGCACATGCACAGACATGACCACTCGACCACACACACACACACACGACAACATACACAGAGAAACAGTTCCCGGACAGCATGAGAAAGAAAGAGCACACCATGGCATCGGCAGATGGTATGCTGTGGTGTGGGCGATAATCTGTGGGATGGGTGATACCATGCAGACTGGTCAGTGCGGCACAAATGCAGGATAGGTGGGTGATGCTACGCGGAGGTAGGTAGTGCGATCCGGGGTCTGTGGGCTGGGCTGGGCTGGGTGGTGTTATGTGGCCGGATAATACCATGCAGGTTGGGTGGTACCATCCTGGGTGCATCATAACATGTGGACTCCATGGCACTAACGGACACATGGCAACCAAAAAACAAAGGAAAAAGCACAGATGGCCCCAAAATAACACGCACACGCACACTTAGATAGACAAGCTGGCCCTTGACATGGCGCGGAGGTACGATATGTGGGCCGGCGGTATCGTGTGGATAGGCTGATACCATGTGGGCGGAGCAGTACATTATGGCTGGTACCACGTGGGGTGGGTCATGGAGTGGGTGACACCACGTGGACCGGATGGTAAGCAAACACACACACGGTCACAAAAAAAAAAAAAAAAAAAAAACATGGGCGACATTAGGCACAACTCAGTTCCATTCACTGCCAGGTGGCACTATGTGGCCTGGGTGATACTATGTCGGTTGGGTTGTGCCATGTGGGATGGGTCACACTATGTGGGCCGGATGGTACTAAGACACAGAGCCAAGGAAAACACACAAGCACACACACACACACACACACACACACACACACACACACACACACACACACACACACACACACACACACATCCTCCCCCCCCAAAAAACTCACACTTAAACACAACTCAGGCCTTGGCACAGCCAGGTGGTACTATGTGGGCTATGTAGGTGATACAATGCAGGTGGGGCAGTACCATGTGAAGCAGGGGGTGCCATGTGGGGCGGGTCACACTATGTGGAGTTGATGGTACCAACACACACTCAACCACAAAACCAAAGCAAAACAATACACAACACATCAGATTACACTGCAATCTGAACTCATGACCTCTTACTCACAGTCAGGTATGTACTTCTCCTCCACACAGCAGGTACTTGAGCACCTTCCTTTGTTTTTTTTTTTTGGACATCATCGCACTTCAAACTTATGACCATTTTACTAACAGTTAGGTATGTACTGCCCATCCACACAGTTCACATGTGTATTTATTCGTTCTATTCAAATACAGACTTAGGCATACGCAGAAACGACAGACAGCGGATGGCATGAAATAACATCCTGAACCCATCTGGCACACGCACCCACTCCACCCCGGGAAACACAAAAGAAAAAACGAAGAAAGCGTGTCTGCATCGTACACTACGAAAACAACAACAACAACAAAAAGGCCACACGTCACACCATCATAAAAAAAAACGACAAAAAACAAAAAAAAAGCCCACATCTGAATCTGTGGTCCACATCTTACAGACCTACACGACAAAACGACAAACACAGCCCCGGGGAAAAGAAAAAAAGAAAAAAAGAAAAAAAACACATATGGCACTGTCAAACAACGAACACAGTGGACAGCGCGCAAAACCGACATCCGGAACTCATCTTTCACACACGTCCATGCCCCCCAACCCCCCAAAAGGAAAAAGAACGCATCTAACACCGAAACGGTGGTGCTCTTGCCCCATCACCTGCGTTTGCCTTTTGTAGATGGAGAACAACTCATAGTTAATTTGACCTTTGCTTGTGAATCCTTCTATTGTTTGGTGCTGCCAGCACCATTTTGAAATGTTTCGATTATCTCAAACAGGCTGCTGAATCTATGACGTTAATTCCCTATTCTCTACTTGTCGCCTGGATGGGAATGGATCTAGCCGCCATGTTTTCCAAACGCTGCCCTGAACGATATGCCGCACAACCCTGAGCCTCAACACCAGGGGCCCAAATTGCACTGTGTACAAGGGCATTTCAGCTCCATATCAGTCTTGTTATGTTCGACAATATTCTTTCTGTGTAGTGGTATGATCCCTAACTCCAAGGAAAGGGTCTCACGTGGCAGTATCTGGCGAAGCCCCAGGAACTCTTCAGCCAAGGCCAATTGCCTTCACCTGACAGTTGAAGTGAAAAGTGTTGTGTGACCATGTGGGGCATTCATCAAATACATGCCCCGTGCAGCCGGCGACACAGGAGAGAGAGACAGAAATGGAGACAGATAGACTGATGTGTGTACAGACAAACAGACGTACAGACAGCGGACAGAGAGAGGAGAGGGCTTGCCTCGTACAAGTGGTTCCCCTCCCATTCCATATCTCCTTCCCTTTCTTGCAACACCTCCTCTCCACCACAGGGGGACTCGAGGCAGGAAACTACTTGTACAGTTTAAGACGTGCCAATATAGGACGTTGTTCAAGAAAGAACTAACCAGAGGAGTGCAATGGAGTGAAGTGTAGTACTAGCGTCGTGGCTCTCCAAGTAACTATGTCACACGCATGACACAGATTTCGACAACCTTAGAGAAGGCGTTTTGGCCCAGCTGGGACCACAAGGGAAGCGGGGAGAAAGTCGGAGAGGGGAGATGGAAACCACCAGCACACCACAGACCACAAGCCGCAGACATAAGTTTGGAATATTGTAATCATCCTGCAAACCAGAAAGACGGTTTTGGAACTAGAAAGAGACTCACCAGCAAAGGTGTGACAAAGTCCTGAAACCTGTAGGTAGACTCCAGAGGCCTAACTCTTTCCATGTACAAGTGTTTTAGGCCATCGACTATTGATGTCACATGCATAGGTGGTGGTGGGTCCTGCAAGGATCGAGACAACAGTGTTCAATTTGTCAGGCTGAACAAACCATGAAAAAAAAAAAGCACGAACAAAGGAGCTGCAGTATTACGGCCCAGGCTCCATTGGTGCTATGTTCGGGATAAGAAAGCACAAACCCAACCATTCTGTCCCAACTGAATTCATGCTTTCAAGAGCTTGGACGTAGCACCAGTGGCGCATGGACCCAAGGCAGAGAAGCAGGAGTATAAATTGTGAGCTCCTTACACAGTCCTGGTGATTAGGCATTGAGCATTTTGTTTTTTCATATTTTCTTCGCGCATTTGACAAAGAACTGGAAGCAACATCAGAAATTGGGGAGCTTGCAAGCTTTTTTAAACAGTCCTGCTCATTAGCCAATCGTGCCATTTTCAACTTCTTCAAAAACATATACCATACCCTGAATCAGCTGCTACGCATGGTAGTTAAATAACATTGATATCGCACAAGAATAGCCGCTGGACAAATTCTTCACAATGACGCATTTTCAAAGTTTAGTTTCTATTCCCTGGATGACAGCACCGGAATCAGTATACACCACAGTTGCAGCACATCCAGTGCGCGCCCGCCACTACCATGGGGGATGTGCTGCACCCCTAAAATCAGCAGTCCATTAAAACAAATATATATATCTACCTAATACTTAAGGGGAAAAGCGGTCCTCGGAAGATGCTCCCAGCAGGCCCACGGAAAAGAAGTTCCGCGGGGTCTTTTCTCGGGACAACCAGTGAAAAATCTCACAATAGACGCAAGTTCGAGTCAGGGACGGGCCGGGTCGCTTTTGGAATTGGGAAGGGCCCGCTGTTTAACATTTTGGCCTGCCACTTGGGCAGGCGGGCCCGTGCGTTCGGATTTTTTTTTGGGGGGGGCGTGGTACAGTTGGTGTTGGCGCGGCTTTATAAACGGGGTCTTTTTTCACTGCGGGGATGTTTTGCGCCGCGCCGTCGATTGCAGAAAGTGTTGTACTGCAGGTGTCGGGCAGATTCGACCAGGCAGTGTATGTTTCCATGGTCTAGCGGAAGATCCATTCAATTTTGCTCATCCAATCGATGGAAGACGCGTGAGGCCAGCCGCGGGGTTGAAGACTTACCTGTTCTCTCTCTCTCTCTCTCTCTCTC